GCTTCAGTTAACACGGTACCATGGAAAGTAAAAAAAAACTCCCTATATTTTTCTGTATTCACTTTGGCTGCAATGCATCATTTGCAAAAATATTTCATGGGAAAAAAATAGAGCTATACATTAAAAGCAGTAAGGAACTAGGTCCTTATGGTATCATAATGGGAAAAGAAAGTAGGGAAGCCTGTGCATGCTCCTATTTAAACCATTATTAACTATGTTTCCTTGATTTGGATGGTGAAAATTACTTTTTAGTTACTTTTCCCACCATGTCTTTATTCTCGAAAGGATACATTTTAAAAAGATAATCCAATTGAAAAAGCACAGGACTGACAGTCAGATTCTAATATGGATATGAGAGATGTTGGGTGACAATAATGCAAGTTGTTTATTAATTTTTTTAGTTTTTGAGCCTGAGTCTTGCTCTGTCGCCCAGGCCAGAGTGCACTGGCACGATCTTGGCTCACTGCAACCTCCGCCTCCCAGGTTCAAGCGATTCTTCAGCCTCAGCCTCCCAAGTAGCTGGTATTACAGATGTGCACCACCACTCCCAGCTAATTTTTTGTATTTTTAGTAGAGACAGGGTTTCACCATGTTATCCAGGATGGTCTATATCTCCTGACCTCCTGATTTGCTCGCCTTGGCCTCCCAGAGTGCTGAGATTACAGGTGTGAGCCACGATGCAAGCCCAATAATGCAAGTTAAGTAAACTTTCTGTACCCATCTGTAAAGTGAAGACAGAATATGTGTTCTTTCTATGCCAAAGGCATACCAGAAAAATAAAGTTTAATAAGAAATCAGTGTACACAAAGTAAAATCCATAAAATTAGGGTAAATTAGGATGTAGCTATCATTCCTGCACTCCTTAATCCCATTTTTTAAGCTGTACCTGACATGCGAACAGAACTAGAAGAAGGATGGAGATATAAGCAAAACTCTAAGATGAATAGTTTGGAAACTACTGCCCACAGGCAAAATCGGGCTCACCACCCCAGTTTTTGTAAGTAAAGTTTTATTAGAAGACTTCTACACCCATGCATGTAAGCATTGTCTATGGCTGCTTTTACATTGAAGGGCAGAACCCAGTGGTTGTGATAGACTATATGGCTTGCAAAGCCTAAAATATTTACCACCTGATCCCCTATAAAATGTCTGCTACAGCATCCATCCCACTTTTCTTACCTACTCTCTTCAATCCCAGGATGACCTGTGAGGACATGGAAGACAATATGAAAACTTCTATTTGTGATTAACTTTCATCTAAAAACTAGTGAAGAAATTAAGCTTCACTAATTTGGCAATGCTGCTATGCCTCATATAACTTACGGAGGGAATCCTGGGTAAAAGTGGGAGTTCCAAAACAGGGCTTGCCTGTGGCACCATTACTTAATTATACTTTCAGTACACTGTGACGTACTGTTATTTCTGTGTGGTGGGATAATTGGCTTTAGAGATTATATTACTTATTTTAACTGAACTGGCACTCACAAAATGGACACAGTAGCTTAAGGTTCTTCCAAAGATAACACAGAATCAATTTTCTTTTGTTTTTGCTTTTCTTGAGAATCGATATTCTAATAATAAGGCAAGTATAAGCACACAACAAAAAAAGATTGAGCTATCATTTTTATCTTCAATATGAGCTCTTTGAAACCACAACATTATTATTTAAATAAGTGTTTATTCTGATTAAACCTGTACACCTATGTATGCATGTGGGCACGTGTGTGTGTGTGTGTGTGTGTGTGTGTGTGTGTAAAAGAGAGAGAGAGAGAATAGGAACTATCACTTTTGCCAGCAATCATGTCCTATCAGACTCTTGTCCTAGCTGCAGTCTTGCTTTCTCTACCTAGTAACCTAGTAATAAATTTGCCATGTATCAATCAACATCTCTGATTGATATCTGGATTTTTTTATTTTTTTGCTTTTTCTCTTCACCCCTTTTCTCCAGTCAGCAACCCTAGGAATATTGCTGCACAAAGTCACTGCTTCATTTATCCCTGAAATTGAGAATTACATTTCCACATGTCTCTTCAGATCCAAGAAGAATGACTTGGAAACAGGATTGCAAGAGACTACCTTCTCCTTGCTTCCTTCCCTTTTTCTTCACTTAGTGTCTTCCGTTCACGTTCATTAGAAAGAGGAGTGAATATCTATTGGGTTTCAGCCTTAAAACCTGTGAACATAGGATCCAAATTAAGAATAATGGAATTGGAATTATAAAAAGGACGCTGGGGAATTAGGTAAAGCCTCAGTTTCCTCATTTGCTATATTAAAGATCTCTCTTTTTTCCTAACCTATAAAATGTGTATGGTACTATCTGTCTTTCCTTTTGCATTGTTGTCTGGATAACTTGAGATAGTTGGTGCATTGTAAGATAATTTTAAACTATAAGTATTAGATAGACTTTGGGGATCAATCATTTTTAAACTTTGAAGTCATACTAAAACCAAAATAAATCAGAAAAGTGAGGGGAGGGAAGGAGACTGAGAGCTCAAAGAACATGGTGTGCTTTCCATATGACAGGCACTAACTTACATACACAGTTTTATTTAATCCATCCAACAACCCCATGAAGTAAGAACATTATTCCTGTTATACAGATGAGAAGCCAGATGCTCTGTAAGTATGTCACTTAACCCAAATCAGACAACTAGCTGTCCAAATCCACCTCCTTTTAGACACTGTACTGTGTAGACATATCTTCTGCTAGCTATGTAAATTTGGGTAAGTGACTTTTTTTTTTTTTTTTAAGAGACAGAGTCTTGCTCTATTACTCAGGCTGGAGTGCAGTGGTGCAATCATAGCTTACTGCAACCTTGAACTTTTGGGCTCAAGTGATCCTCCTACCTCAGCCTCCGTCCACATTAGCTGGGACTACAGGTACATGCTACCAAACCTGGCTACTTTTAAAATATTTTAATAGAGATGAGGTCTTGCTATGTTGTCCAGGCTAAATGACATATTCTTTTGGCAACTTGTTTTCCTCATTTCTAAAGGGCTAAAGACAAGTGCTACTGTGATGTACTAGCTGTAGTATCACATCTAATCCTAGCCAAACCTCATGGCTTAGAAGTGCTTCTATCAATTTTGTCTTTGAGCAACCAAGACAGAGCACTTGGTACCATGTTTAAGGCTTTACAGCCACTCTGTGGTGGGGCCTGAACTTGAACCACCAGCTCCAGATTCATTTTCCTTCCACATGCTATCTGTCAGTGAATTTTGTAGGGTATACTAGAAAACATAAGTAAAAGTACATAACAAAATATATGTTGCACAGTAGGTACTCAGGATGTAGTATGTTTTATCTTTCCCAAGTAAATTCCTGCTTTCTCCTGGAATATGGTCAGCACAGTGTTTTTTTTTGCTTTGGGAGGAAAATAGGAACTCAGGAAAAATATCAATCTGGGTTGAATAAAGAAAGCAGGCCACAGTTGGATATGAATGTGGATTATGATACACAGACTACAAACTTTCAAGTGACAGCCAAGAGTTCTTTCTTACCAATGTGTGCTATCTTAGTAAACTTCACTCCCAATTCTTTCATTTTTGAAGAAAAACATTTCCAGCTAATAACACAATTACACTTAAGTATCAGAGTCCATTTGAGTATTATTGCATTTGTTAAATCTAACTAAGTCCAAATTACTTCCTCATAGCTAATAAGAGAAAGAGGGAGGAAGAGGAGGAGGAGGAGGCGAGAACTGAGGGGAAAAGAGTTTGGGAGGGTTAAAGGAAGAAAAGAAGACACATAAACAGAGTGCTAGAGAGAAAAATAGAGAGGTATCAATGCTGCATATAGCCTCAAGTCCAATAAATGTCAGTTAAACTTGCTGCTCACAGTTTCTATGGAAACCCCTTAAGTTAGGAGTGGAACACAGACATTTTTTGGACTGCAATTCACAAGCTGTTTATTTAATTATGATGAAACATGAGACTGTTAGGGACAATACCATTATCATATGGCAAAATAAAAAGTTGATTTTTTTTCTAAATTAACTTCATGTGCATTGCATGCGAATAAATGCATCTTTTTTTTTTTTTTTAACAGGACTTAACACATTATTTCCTTCAGGCGAACCCCAAATTAGCCAAATGACATTCGTGACAAGGGAATTCTTCAGAGGCCTCATGCCAATTATACCCGCACATGCCCAGTGAACAAAACCAAGGTCCCGGCATATTTTCAGTTAAACCCAAGATAGCACCAAAGTGCAGTACAGCTGGAAAAGCAAGCACATTATTGCCCCATAGATCATTTGTGAGCCATGAATAGGTCTTTGGTGTTTTTCTGGTCTATAGGCATTTGAATATAAAAATAAAACTGTTCAGATTAGCTTTTGCCTTCCAAAATAAACAACTACTTCTAGGGCATTATTCTTGGTGGTCTGAAGAAACATGATTTGAAGCCATCATTGTTCTATCTCTGATGGTTGAACATCACTTGCTTAGGTATTACTTTGGCTGCAGGAAACCATCTAATTGATGGACTCATTTCTACCTTTGTTCTTTCACTAGACAAACATGTAGTTTTCCATTCATTATGTATCAGGCACTGTATGAGGGACATGGGAGGCAAGAAGGCTAAACCCCAGTTCCTGCTTTAATAATAAAGTTTTTGGAAGGAAGTGCATTAATTTTGCCAATAAATATAGAGGACCAACTATGGCTCATAGGTGCTAAGTAATAAACAGGTTCAGAATCCTGCCGTCAAGGAGATTACAGTTTAGTGAAGATACAATAAATCATAGAGCAAAGAGTCAGGGTTCCTGCCTCCTGCTGCCTTTTCTCTCTGCAGATAGAACTACCACTCATGGAAACTGTGCTACAGTAGGTAAATGTATTTATGTGTACGGCATCGTTTGCTGGAGGATGGTGGTGTGAAGAGTAAGCTTCAGAAATATTTCCATGGGACAACCACATTTCCAGTTCTGTCTATCAGCCACGAATACCCTCATAAAATATTTAGCCCAGAAAATATGACTGAATGAGGAGGCACTCACAAGATAAGTGAATCCCAAGGAAAGTCATCTCTGGAGTCAAGCAGGGAACATGAGGCTGTTTCTAAACTGGCAAAGAGAAACACAAGAAATTTGCAAATATGACTCAGTGGATATGTCTTTTCTACTATATTGCAGCTTATTTTTTGGAATTCAGTAGTGGTTTGCAGTAGCTGGACTTCCCACAAATTGCTCGCATTAGCAAAGCCAGTCGTTGCTGTTATCAGATTTGACAGTGTATAATGAGTCATTTCACATTAGCTGCAGTTGTAGTGTTCAGCATATTGTGGGAAAGATTTAGCATGAATCATCACCCACCTAGCTCTCCACTGGGGTCTCTATGCTGTAAATAGGCAGTGTGTTTGCCAATCTAAAAAAAAATAGAGAGAGAGAAAAGAAAGCATCCATTAGAATAATTCAGCGCATTTCTTGATCTGTCACCACTACAGCCACCACTACAGACACCACTGGTGACATTTATTGAATTGCCACTGTATTTTAACACTAACCTGGGCAGAAAGCCAAAGCAACTCTCCTAACTACTCTTTTGAACAATGCATTTTTTAATGCCAATAAAAAATGCATTTGGATTCAGAAGAAATGTAGTCTATACTTGGTTCTGACTTATTAGATACGTGACCTTAAGTAAGTCACATTTTCTCTCTGACCTAGTGTCCTGATAAGAACCACCTCATAAGATTAAAGCAGATAATGCATTATCGTGATGGATAGGAAAGAGTTAAATAGAAAACTCAATTACTAAAGTCAAATGGGATGTTAAGAGTTTGACATAGGCATCTGTTACAAACTCTATTTGATATTGCCCCCTCCCCCCCACCACATCCCCAGACAAAAAAGATATGAAATCTTTCCTCTCACTACACATCTTTCATCCCACCCCACTATTCCTTTGGCCCTGGCAGAATAAAAGTTAGAATCTGAGACTGAGGGCCACACACAGTACTTAAAGCAAAGAGATCCTAAGAGCTAGAGCTCACATTTTACAATGTATAATGAAGTAAAAGAAACTTTCTGTAATTCCAACAAATACAGGTCTTCTAACCTTGGAAATACAGTTGGTACAGACTGTACAAAGAGGAGACCCAGAGCAACTGCAGATAGAAAGATCCCTCACAATAATCAAGATCAAGGGACTGACATGGATATTGAAATCACCAAGAAGTCTATCCAGGGTAAGTATGGAGAGAACAACAGGGAGGCAGATGTTAAAATCTTCAAGGATTATGAAGGAGTGAAGCCCGGACTATGGCTGACTCCAACAAGTTGTTAGCAGGTGGTACAGTCTGACAGCATAGGTTTCACTGCTGGGCATTTTACTGTATTAGATGATTTTATTTGGAATAGACAGTGTAAATAAAAGTGCTTATATATGCATACATATACATACACACATACACATATATATAAAATATATATATTTTTATATATAGACTATATATATTTTATATGTAGAATATATATATATAGAGAAAATATATATATATATATATATATATTGAATATAGCAATATATCACGAATGGCATCATTCTTGCAAGTAAAACTGAATGGATCAAAATTTATTTTAGAAATAATCTGTGGATTTTCTGTCCATAGGCTTAAAATAAATGTATAACTCAGCTGGGCACAGTGGTTCACACCTGTAATCATAGCACTTTGGGAGGCCAAGGTGGGTAGATCACCTGAGGTCAGGAGTTCGAGACCAGCCTGGCCAACATGGCAAAACCCTGTCTCCACTAAAAATGCAAAAGTCAGCCAACATGGTGCTGCACGCCTGTAGTCCCAACTACTCAGGAGGCTGAGGCAGGAGAATTGCTTGGACCTGGTAGGTGGAGGTGGCAGTGAGCCAAGATCACACCACTGCACTCTAGTCGGGGTAAAAAAACAAGAGTCTATCTCCAAAAAAAAAAAAAAAAAAAAAAAAAGGTCAATTTTATAAAATGTTTTCCCAAATCTCATGGTTTCAAGAAGCATTAACTACCCTTCAGTAGGATATATGAAATATGAATCGTAATTTAATGTGCCTGGGATTTTAAAAACTTTAGAGGAAGTTGGTAGGTAACAATTAGTGTGTGTAGAGAGGCAAAGAAAAGGCAGGAGGTGAAAACATATTTATTGCTAAATCAAATAGCCAATTCTCAATTTTCATATTATGCAAAAGTTATTAATATTTGGCATAATGATCACTCGGTCCTTTCTGAAACACCTTTTGCACTTGGATCCTAGGAAACAACTCCCTTGCTCCCCCTCTTGCTTCAGTGATAACTCTGCTGAACATCCATTGCTGGTTGTGTCTCGTCTCACAGGCCAATGAGTCTTGGAGCACCCCAGGTCTCAAATCAGTGGACATCTTATTTATCTATACTCTCTCTCTAGGTGATCGTATAATGCTTTTAAACACCACCTATAAACTGAAGACTGCCAAACCGAAATCTCCAACAGGCTTGCAGACTTGTATATACTACTGCTTATTCAAGACCTCCATTTGGAGGCTTCAAAAATCAACCTGTCTATAATCAGACTCTTCATTTCTATTTAACCCGACAAAGGTTTCTTTTCTAATGGCAATTGCATTCATTCATACGACTAAACATTTTAAGCTCTTACTGTGTACGAAGCACCATTTCAGGAATGATTTTTCCAGGAGCTCAGAACAAAGTCTACCTTCAAACTTTTTTTTTTTGGTCTCATACCTTCTCTTTTTGGATTATATCTACACCTCATCCCCTTTATTTCCTCTCACCTATGCTTTGGAAATTCTATATATCAGTATTCTGGTTTCTTCTCCAGACACATCTGTTGCTGTGTCTTGGTCCAGTTTCTCTCTGGATAGTTGGAGAATTCCACAGCCTGGTCTAATATCTGGTTTCCCTGCTTCTAATTTCTCCACATAGTGGAGGGATCCTATTTGAATTAAAGTCAGATCATATTCCTTCTCAGTGCTCAAGGTCTTCTCACAACACTCAGAGTAATATTAAAGCCCTAATGGCCAGTAATATTTTTTTCTGCATCTCTCCTACTTCTTTGATCTCATTTTCCTAAAACTGTTGCTCCTACTCACTCCACTCTGACCATCACACTGGCTCCTTATTGTTTCTGCAAGCACAGTGCCTTCTCAGGGACCTTGTATATGCTGTTTGCTCTACCTGGAATGCCCTTCACCCAGAGAGACCTATACCCGTGTCTGCACTCCATGACAGTAGTGCCACCTTTCATGCAAGTACCTGTATACTTTGCTTCCTCACTTCCTTCAGGGCTCTGCTAAACCTGTTCAGAGAAGTCTTCTCTGGCTATGCTGCTTAAAACATTTATTTCTCTTGATAAAGCATCTCAAAACTAGGGATAATATGTACACATTTATTGATTTTCTCTCTCCTCCAACAAGAATATGAGTTCCCAGGAAATAGAGCTTATATGATTTGTTTATTGATGAATTTCCAACAGTAGCCCAATTTCATAGGTGAGGAAACTAAAGCTCAGAGAGCTGAGTGCCTTCCTTGTGGGCTTTTCCGGAGAAAATGAGGATTACTAAGTAGGAAAGAGTATAAACCTAGGGGTAGTGAATGTTGCTAGATCAGGGCTGCAAAAAATACAGCCAAAGTACAGCTGTTAAGTTCATAAATTCTATCATCAGACTATCATCAGAGATAGTCATTTTGTGACTTGCAGAAAGTTATATAATATTTTAGGTTTCAATTTCCTCATCTGTAAAATTAGAGTGATGATAATAATAGAATCAACTTCAAAAGGTTGTTCTAAACCTGAAATGAAATGATATCCATAAACCAACAAGCCTGGCTTATCATGCTTTCTCTAATAATGGGAACTATTATTATCTGAGAGTTAATTTCTCTGAATTATATATATTTTTCTGAATTCTCCTTCATTTAAAAAATGCTGAACATAATTATCCATCTGCTGTCAGCAGACCCTTCATCCACTGTTTATCGAGCCCTGCTCGAAACACTTACTAATGGCTAAACAATTCATCCTCTTTTCTAAAATGATTATTTAAGGCCAAATGTGGTACTTATTCCCAAATATATAATTAAGCCTGGACTTGGGAATATACAAATCAAGGTGATAATCCTTCTTGATTTTTTACATAGCACTTTGTTAAAAGGTCTTGTTGAAAACAAGACTAGTAATAAGGAAGATGATGATGAAGATTGTATCTTTTGTTAATATTGTAAATTACAATTTGAAAAATTGTTTCATGTGCATTATGCTATCTGTCCCTCAACAAATATGGGAGGAAGGCAAATGAGACTACAATTTTTCATTTTGCAGTTAAAAAAGTTAAAGTATAAGAAAAATAATGTGATTAAGGTTTATAAAAAGTCCTAATATGTGTTAAGAGTTTATATAAGAAGTCAAATATTTGAAGCCTTAGGCTAGTGATCTGCCTATTACACGGTCTTTTAACACAAACACTTTAAGGAAAAAAGGAGATATTTTCTGCAATGAATCCTTCCAAGGTTGTTTAAATTTCTAGAGACTCACTTTTTTGTGTTCCTTTAACACATTGTACTTCTATGTCCAATGTGAGGGGAAGGGAAAAAACATTTATTGAGCAACTATCAACCACTGTGCTAGTTTTCCATATTGTACTTGCTTGCTCATGTGTCTTTCTGCCTCATTAGACTGCATGCCCCAGTGGGACAGGCAACATATTCCATTCCATGGGCATGCATACCCCAGTAACTGCTGTGTAATATGTGTTCAATAAATGTTTCTTGAGTAAGAAAAGGAAATCGCTTATTTGGTGAAATAAGCTTATATACAGAAACAAAGCAACTAAAGTATATCCCAAAATTTAAACTATATAATCAATTAGCATGATTACAGAAAATGTCATGAAATTGTCACCTCCTAGGTCAAAAACTGGTGACTATCAGCAGTTTTATATGGTTCTAAACAATAGTTTCCAAAGAAAAATAATGATTTTAGAAATGTCCAGTTGGCCAAATTTCTAGGATCTATGGAAATCCTTTTCAGCTTATGTCTAGTCATATAAACTTTATGTCCCAACCAAGGGGAAAAAAGCCAATATTTTTATTTCAATGAAAAGTCTTCTAACCTCAAACATTCAATTTGTGAAAGGGTAATTAAAATTGAAACTGGAATAGGTCATTCAGTTACTGAGTTATAAAGACGACTTATCTATTGATTACCTATACCAGGGTCTACAAGTTAGAGCAGAGAAGTCATCTATTTGCCTTACCATAGCTTAAAATCTAGTGCTACTGCCATTTATACATTATAGAAAGATAAAATGTCCATACTGTTTTCTCTAATACAGCAGCTTAAATATTACTACTTCTGAACAGTTCTCACTTACTTTTTTCTC